TACTCATTTGTCAATCCATGCCAATAAAAATTATAAGTCCATGATGAAGTCATTTCCAACCAACAAAGAGTCATAGTTCAAATAAAATACTGAACAAAATGCTCCATCAACTCAAGAGTACTGAAGATCAGAAAGCAGAACAAGAAAACCACATACGTGTTGTGAGACATAAACTGCAAAAAGCTGAAGCCACCACCAGCTCCTTGGGAATTTCTTCCTGAGATCATTGTATCTCCAATCCTCTCTCTTACCCCACTCCCACCTTTCTCTTCTGAAATAATTGTGGGTCAACCTAATGCTCCACACCCATGTGAGAAAAACCACGGCCCTTGATCTCCACAAAGCATATTCCCCATTAGGGTGGGTCTTGTAATAGTGAACCAGCAAGACTGGTATCACTGTCCAGTACAAGTCTATCAACTGCAAACAAGGAAAAATGAACAAACGCACAAAACCCAGTTTGTAAATGCTAAAACGGCTCAAATGTACGAGAAAGGGGATCAAGGGAAAAACAGGAAAGGCAATAACAGTGTATCTAAGATGAATTTTTTCACACAGCGAAGCCCAGTGGGATGTTCTTACTCGTGTGAGAGAAAGCACAAGAAATGAATGGGCGGCAGTAATTGCCCCGAAACATGCACGGGCGCGCACACACACACAGAAAGAATTGGTAATCAAAGATGGAACAGCGAATAGGAGAATTAATGGTGAACTACTAAGGAAACGAAGAATGCAAATTGAGAAGAAAGTCTTGAAAGGAAGAGAGTAATAAAGCTAAAGAATAAGAAAGTGGAGATAGATACCCAAGTGTTGGCCTGAAGGAGACCGATGAGCCAGAAGATGAGGTCCACATTAATAAAGAAGAGGATGTTTGCCAAGAAAATAGGATGCTGAGCGAGCCACTTCCATGGGTGCGGCGGATCTGTAGAAAGTGAGTGGCAGTGAAGGGATGTAAGGTGGAACACAATGGAGGGAATGGGAACAAAGAAAGCAATCGCCATGTTTGCCAGATTCCCCATACTGCTACAAACTAATACAGACGACGGACAATTAACAGTGCCACTCTCTCTCTCTCCCTGGTGCGTGAAAGAACAAGGAAAAGCCCACGGGAGCAAAAGCCGCTTACTTACGAACGTCGATGGCTAGGATGGACCTTATCTAAGGTGTCATCATCGTAGCTTTTTTTTTCAATTAATTGATTAGTAGCTGTTTTTCTTAATTAATTGGGATTGGCTTTGGTCTCTGCCGCTACCCTAAGGTCGTATCTAGGTCACGTAATAAGTTTTCATATTTTTTCTGAACTGCGTTATAAATTTTCATATTTTTTCAAACTAATTCAAGTAAGATTACTTCCGACAACATCCTTTTAAACCTACCTTTCGTCTTTTCAATCTTTCTATTTGAACTAACTCACACTCTTAACTGACATTGTACTCTTAACTGACATTGTACTAGGTGGACGCCACACGTAACCAATCTACTAAAGTCTACTATCTCTCTTCTATGTTATCTAAAATATATTGTCCATAAGTAAAATATGGACGGTGTATAAGAAATACTAAACAATTGATACAAAAGAAATACTAAAAAACATTTTTTAATTTTAAACATTTATTTTTCTTTTCATATTTATGGTCATCTTGGCCTAAATGATGAATCTAATATATATATATATATATATATATAGAAAACAACCATCCAAAATGAATTTTAGTAAGGGGCTACGTATATGAGTCTGCCGACTACTAGACACCTCCCATTTTTCTTGCCATGGATCTATTTGTCTGCGGGTCTTCCTCGTGCGAGGATCTATGGTGGGACTTACTAGTTTTCGTCTAGTTTTTTTATGCCGTGTACTCCTTATTCATCAGGAAAATTTATCCATTTACTACGAAAAATAAACCTTTTAACATTCTTGGATTTGGTTAAAATAGGGCGCGGTCTGGATAATGCTGATGTCCTAAACAAATAACACAAGGTGCACCTTTAAGTCGAAAGATGTTTTAGTACTAAAAATCTCCGTGATGATGGCCTAAAAGTTTATTTTGTGTTTTTGACAAAATGATAGCTTGAAAGTTTTTTTTTTATATTTAATTGTAAAAATCAAAGCTTCAAAAATAATGTAGATCGAACAAATCTACGAACACTCGAAAATCTTGAAAATTTACGGTCCAAAAATTACATTACATGATACACAATTTCCAAGACCTGAAATCTATTGTTTTTCATATCATTTGAGGAGTTTTCGTCATCAAACCATCACATCAATGGTTGAATGGTGATAGAGAGGGGTGATTCAACGGTGATGGAGGGCTGGGTGCCACTGCATATTTAAGTACAACTGAATTTGGTAATTAATTCCCTTTCCATCAGCGCCCAACCAATTTGATTGGACAGTGATAAATCTCAGTCATCCTCTTAAGCCTTTCCCAATTATTTGGGGCCGGCTCTCTCTCTCTCATTCATGTCACGTGAAAAGATTGGCACCGATATCTTGCTCAAAAGGAGACTTCACTTTTAGCTTTACCATAATAACCCACTCCGTATATTCTAGGTATTCTTACTATTTCCTTTCATTTGGAAAGAATCACGTCAAAAACTTTGGCATAATGCCTAGGGGAAGATGACCAAAAATTCACCTGCCCACATACTCTACACTCGTATCCAAAAATTCTAGCCGCAGGAAATGGGAAACAAAAAGCAATTCAACAGAACGAGAAAGAGAGTTGAGAGAGAGAGAGAGAGAGAGAGAGAGAGAGAGAGTAGTATCTACGAGTACGACTATCGACCTACGTAGTAGTAGTACTAACTAAACGTCGTACCGTTAGTTTACCGAACCCAAACCCTAATTACTACGT